GTATTATATTTGAAGTTTTAAAATAATTGATATTTTTTATTTTTAAAATATAATAAATATAACTTTAATTATTAAGTAAATCTTTAAATCTTTAAATTTAAAAACTATTTTAATACTATTTATTAAATTATTTATCTTATCTCTTAAATAAAAATAAAAATAGTATAATATTACTATAAGTAAACATTGCCCCACTTATATATCCTTCTTCACAACCGCAGTTTTTACACCCAGGTACGCGCATCCTGTTCGTTTTACAATACACTATTAACCTACAACAGCAGCCAATTCAAATTGGATATGAGAGACAAAAAGGAAAACATGAACGAACGCCGCAAGAACCCCAACCCGACAGGTGACGCCGGGCAGTCGGTGAGCGCTGGGTCGCAGAGCGGACAGCACGAGTCAACTTTTCGGGTTATTCAGGACGCTTCTGGAAACCGCATGGTTACAATACCGTTAGAGATTTCAGAGATCCTTAACTCTTTCGGGTTGACCACGAATGACATTCTCACGTTGCCGGCGGTGCAGGGTGAGATCGGCCAAATGCCAGTCTCTGTGCGGCATTGGCAAAGCGGTCGCGAGGTGAAGCCTCCATTGGTTTGGAACACTTACCCCGGGAAATACGTGTTCAAATACACACTGGAGAACATAGGGCAAGTACCCCAACTTTTGGACCTGTTCAAGCAGATTCGGGAGCCCAGTGACACCTTCCAGGGCGTGAGGCTCAAGGCTGACGATTCGTCTTCCCTTCTCCGGTTGTATAGACTGAAAGACCTGCCAGGAGCAGCTGAAATGACCGATAAAGTTCCCGAACCGTCTCCTGCTACACCGGAGGTGAACCAGCAGAGGTCCGGTGAAAGACAAATTGCTGAACCTCAGTCACGGGGCAGCGATCAAGAAAATGTTGCACCTCCCAGCAAGCGCCAGAAGAGGAATCGCTGCGTAGGATGCGGCTCTGACAATCACCATCTCGGGAATTGCTTGAAGGCTGGTGATGATGGACTGATGAAGGGTTGCCCTTACTGCAAAACCCTCAGCCATAACGCCAGCAACTGTCAAGACGTCAGGACAGACGATGAGAGGTTCAACTGGTTTGTCAGGAAGCGAGGATGTATGCCAAGCTTCTTAGACTTCAACACCTGGTTCCCTCTGGTGTCTTTTCAGCGCAGCGCCACAGTGCAGAACCGTTTGCCGTGGACGGCTGAGTTCACAAAGTTCAATGCTGATGACATAGATCGAATCCAGAATGCCTTTGACAACCCAGGTCCTGGTAGAGAGTATGAACTCCCAAAGGATCCAAGACTGTGGGACTGGGAGGCGGTTGAGGTGTACCATCAACACCGTGCGAAGAAAGATCAGAAGGCTCTAGACCCTGCAAAAGAGACCGTCATCCATGATGGTATTGTCATGAACAGGAAGCGAGCGGAAATGATCCTGGCTGGGGACTCTTAGTCGACTGCTTGCTGAGATAGAACGCCCTATTCACACAAGTGAGGACAGCAGCGGACGTAAGGTGACTCTGTTGCACTCACAGCAGTTCATGGAGGTATGTGTCTTGGTCGAGTCTAGCCAATGGAATGCAAGATTCAATAGCCTTGAAAATGCAAGTCTCTTCGGTGCCACAATGGGTGTTTGCTTCTGCCGTGAATATGTGACCCGCCCACAACCCTGATCCTTTATGATGTCGTGAATCCACTACTATTCTACTCCAAGTACGCGCAGCACTGTGGCATTCGTGAATTGACTTGCCATCATGCATTTTTCCATGCTGCATCGCCAAGAGGGGTCCCAAGATGCCTTTTGAAGGGACTACTGATCAGTTTCACAAGCTGAGCTGAATATGCTTAACAGAGTCGTAAGAACTTTCACGCAATCTTCATCCTTATTCGCGATAAATAAAATGGCGTCACCACTCACTACAGCCCGCAACAGCGCCATGCCTGATGATCAAAGCCATCTCACTTCTGTCAGAAAGTTCAACGAACATCCAAATGACAAAGGTTATATATGAACCTCGGCTAGTTCCATGTGCTTCCCAAAAGTGTGAGCGACAAGGGCTACAGATAATGTCGAAAAGTCCAGTCACGTTGTGCAAGGGGATAATAGAGTATAGGACATGTATAAACGTCATGGCATACTTCGATATGATGTACAATGCGGCTACGCGTGGTGTAAGCATCAGCTGTCAGGTCTGGCATTCCAGTGTATGCATTCCATGTCCAGTGGTCCCTCCAGGATCATAGCGCAATGTCTAACCCCAAGCCGCATCGATGAAACATCGGTTGACAGCAGATAACATAGGCATCGATGACATGGTAGGATGATATATGTATGTATTGAGCTGGAAGCATTGTAGTTAGAAGCACGACTATCGCTTGTTTGGGACTGTATGTAGCCGGTTGTGGACACTTTGTATCCTCTTCCTCAACTTCCCCTATAGCATCTATCTGTTATTAAACTTGCCCTGACACTTCTGTCTCCTTTTCAACTACCTCTCCTCAAACGCGGTATTTTGGACCCCTGTGACATACTGGAGTGAGGTAAGTCTCTTCATGAGCTCAGCTTGCGGTCGGGCGTGACAGAAAGAGACTGTCTGGAGAAAGTTGAGAAGGGCTTCGTTCAGTTCGGGTGGACTTCGTAGAGGTACCTTGAGGCTTTGGTTGGCTGCAGCGGTGCGCCTGATCAACATCCTGTGGGAGTGGCTAGTCGATGTTGACGGTTTTTCGAGGGAATGTAAAGCAAACTCCGGCCAGGACGAAAGAAGTTTCATCCAAAGAGCGCGATCTTTCTGTATTTCAACTCTGTTAGTCTGAAGGTGTCACAATTGGGAAGATAATCTCACTGGTAAACGAGAAGCTTGCGTCAGATTCGTGAGGCTAGGTGGAAGTAGTTTTCTCCGAAACCGGAGCCCCTTTCCATCTGCTGGCTAAACACAGACACATGTAAATGGTCAGTTGTGCCTGAGCCAGCGTGAGTAATGAGCGAGTCTGTGGTGCAGAACAGTGCGGCAGTGGATTTGACTGGGGGCAACCGATGTCAAAGTCATTCAGTCACTCGCGCTATGCACTCGGCACTCATGGTAGCCGACTGAGTAAATCATCAAATTCATCATAAAATATCCTAAATTCATCAAAAACTTAGACAGATTTAGGATATCCGACCCTAAGCTTAGAGGACGCTGACGCCCCATCCTCAGAGTTTTGTAGCTCAAGCCACTCGTTAACCTTGTCGATACTGTCTTCCTGTCCGTCCTCCTCCCAGTATCCCATCTCCTCCTCTTCACTATCCGATGACACGGCGTCGTCGCCGATAAGAGGTCCACCTGACAGGGCAGCAGCACAGATGATGGACCACTGGAGCTTGATCACATGCTCAAGCAAACGCCGGTCTTTTGTGAGGCGCTTGACTTTGACGATGGTACCAGACTCAACAGGTCGATTGTTTGATATATCATGACACTGCACACCCAGGGTCTCCCGGCATTGGGTGCAATTTTTTGTTGTGCACGCTGAAAGTGGACCGTCGCCGTAACGATGGGTGAGGTGAGCCCTCAAAGCTGTCGATGGATTCCTCTGCGCTCTCAGATCAATATGATCTGTAGCCATGGCTTTGACATTGGAAGGCATCCAGACAAATTGGAGGGAGATGATCGAATAGTTGGGATCATCCTCGCATAACACTGCGCCATAGCACTTCAAGCCGAAATAGGCTCTGCCCCACCACGTATGGAGCTGAGGACTGAGACACAGAAGATTCCAAGGCTTATCGCTCGATTTGACTTCTTCGATGATTTCCTTGTGTGTAGAGTTGGCAGCCGAGGACTGTTGATCAAAGACGATGAACCCGACGTTTTTGAGAATTTTCTCGGTCTTCTCCAGATGATCTCGGTCTTGGTTCCAATGAAAAGGAACAATATGGCAGGCTTCAGGATTAGCCAGGCCAGTGACGATGCACCGGTACTGATCCAGTCTTTTACACTCATCGATCGTTGATTGGGTCCGCGGAACTTGTGTCCTTTGGGATCGGGTGCTTGACGGAGCAGAATCTTTTGGTGCCGGGCTGGTTGAAGGCGGAGGAGATAGGACAGTGTACTTGTCACGCTTGAAGACTGTTCTAAATCAGTATGAGAAGAAGCAATAAGGTGTTATTGTACTTACAATGAGTGGTGAGTTCCCCAAGTCCGTGGATAGCGTTAAAAACATAAAATCCTCCTAAATTGGAAACGGTCCGGAGATCTTCAAGTGGCATTCCCATAAGGTAGCAGAACTGGATATGATTCAAAGTAGGCCAGGGTGGCTCCATTGCGGCAATCTTCTTTTCTATGACCTCAATCCGATCAAGGCGGGCGTTCATCTCATGCACAGGAATCTCATGGAGAGGGGAAAGGTCAGTCACCGCTTTAACCTGCAACATGGTAGCGGTACGTTGGCGTTTCGTGTTGAATGTGTTCGAAAAAGAATTGAAAAGGATGAAAAGTTGACTGCGGTGCAAGTGGAATAAGGTAGGTAAACATATCAATTTTTTAGATTCGTTGCAGAAAGCCAGTTTGGACGAGACCCACAGTCCTCTAAACTTAGGAGAGCCTGTGCTAAATCTTTAGAAGCTTAGGGTGGGTCTTATGATGACTTTAGGATTGGATGTCTAAGGATGAGTTTAGGAGCAAGCTCCACTGCGCAAGAGAAGAAAAGACCATATGCTTGACTACGTTCCATAGGTGCTGACGAAAATTGACAGGCGGTTCAGGTTACACAAGCCACTGCACACAGCCCCGTCTTCAGTCGACCCCGCCAGTGAACAACCTTCGCACCCAAAACCTTGACCTCCAACTAAGTTTCTCTACTGATTTAAGCCCTCAGCCACAATCTCAACTGCAAATAACACGATGGTCCCTCCGACTCCTCAGCCAAGATTCATCACTGCTACCAAGAACGACAACGATGGCAACCCACGAGCCGGCACAAGCCTCTTCATCTTCGGCGCGACCTCGAGTCGAACGCGTGGAGAGCCTCATCCCAGTTGAGGACTACGAACTTCGACTTGCGCTCATCGAAAGCATCCGAGCGGCATTACAGCCTTTTCGCGGCCCTGGAAAGCCTGATCTCACCGGATTGGAGTTTTCGTACCTCATCAACATGCCGCTCGATAAATTGCGAAACCTCAAACCATTGCTTCCCGACTTATCCGGCACCCTCGAACCCCTTATTAATAAATTAGGCAATGTGACTTGGTGGTATGAGTCTGAACCGAAGTCTATATTGAAAAAAGTCCATGCTAATACTTATGAGTCCTTCAAAAGGCCGCATACAAGATCGAGTTTCCTGAACGGTCCCAGGGCAACTCCTCCGCAAAGACTGTCAGCGTCAAAGGGAAAGCGCCTCAGCGTGTCACCCCTCAGGGCTCTGTCACAAAGCCCGGATCACCCAACAAATCAAACGCCGATGGAAAACGTTCAGCATCAGAGGAGAACACCTTACTCAAAGCTATCGCAAATCCCTCTGAGGCGAGTTCTGTGGCGACAAACAAGGGCACTGAGGCCGGTCGAAGCGAGGCTCTCCGAAAGGAGTGTTTGGAGCTCGATGGCAACTACTGTGCGGTGACCGGTACCAGCGACCCTCATGTCTGCCATATTGTTCCCTTCGCTTGGTCCAAGCATGAGGAGAACTTTGAGGTTACCAAGCGCTTGATGCCCGCCCTCCAATTAGTGATCGACATCCAACCCCCCGAGCTCAAACTTGAAGCCATGGGCAAGCTGCAAGAAGGTGTCGGTTGTACTGACCGACTCTGGAACATGGTGTGTCTGAGCCCCCAGCTTCACAAGTGGTGGGACCATGCGTACTTCGGCCTGAAGTACTATGGCAGAAATGATTCTGAGGAAGAGGGCTTTGTCGAGATCCATCTCCAGTTTGTGTGGATGCCACGTAACATCTCTCAACTAGCAGCGCAACAAATCGACCTGGATCAGCAGGCAGATCGATCCACAGGTCTTTCAGCCAACCTCAGCCATTACTACGGAGGGCAGACAAATACATCATGCACAGAGAGCTGCAGCGACTGCGAGGCTACCCGAAGAGTCAAAGCATATGATAGCACCGGCCGCCCTATCGTGAACGGCCAGATTATTGTGGTCAAACGTCGCGAGGAGGATGCCCCTCTCTTTGAGGCTATGATCAAGATCCAATGGGCTGTCATTCGTGCTGCAGCTATCTCAGGTGGAGCTCTTGCTCCTGGGGAATTTCGGTCGTTCAGTGAAGACTCGGATGGAGAAGAGGCTGATTCACCAACAGCGGTTGAGGAAGAGGATCTTTTATCAACTGCCGAACGTATTCGCGACTGGTTGGACCATACATAGAGGACATTTATCACAACAGATTCCGATAGCCTTTTGTCACTTTTGCAACTCACAAGGGCTTCAAGCGTGCGTACACAGAAGGGCAATGTTTTGTAAAACTCATCATAAATTATGACAATCTCATCATAAGATATCCCAAACTCATCCTAAACTACCCTCAGACTCATCTAAGGCTCCTATGTCCACGACTGGCTTACTGTCGGGCTCGCCAACATCTAACACCAACCTAGGATTTGAGGGTTGAAATGACGCTCGAGACAGCAGCCACGAGATATGGAATGTGACATCTAGCAAGCCAGGTTGTCCACCAAGGTACCTGGTCCCGTAGACAGAGTCGGTGATGACGCTGGACCTGGGCTCAATGTTGCCGATCGGCTGGGGCTCAATGTCGTGGATCGACACCGCCCATCGTATCCCTTGTCATACTCCTTCTCCTCGTGGAGTTCACTCTTCAACAACCGAATAGTTTCTTCGTCCTGCTGGATCGTGCGGTTGCTGCGTCGGACTGCCTGTTTGAGTTTCTTGATTTCCCCGTCCGAGCGGGGGCTCTTGGCCGCGATCTTGGATTGTCTTTTGGCAACCCCAACCTTCTTTGTCTTCTTCCCCATGAGGGCGCGAAGGTGCTGTTTGATGGTCCTGGCCTGAGCTTTGCGACGCTTAGTCTTTGACTGCCTCTCGTAGCGGGCGCTTTGGGCTTCAGCAAGAAAGGAGTTAGTGACATTGCTACCGGAGCCATTGTATTTACTTGCCTCCGGCTGTCTGAGTCGGGCGCTCAGTTACCATCGGCTCTTCAGCGTCTATGGACAAGGGTCAGTGAGATTGCCATCGGGGTCACTGTATTTGTTTACCATCGTTGTTGTCAGGTTGGCTAGTAATGGCGGCATCATCTTGCTCTTCGCTGGGGCGTCCCCGCCAGATGTTGGCATTGGGGTATGCGGCAGCGGCTCTGGCTGCCCACCCGTTTCCCTTGCTACCATTCTTGATGCTCTCTTCAGACCATCGTGTGTTGCAAAGGGCGGCGCAGATGCACGCCAAGCTCATGGGGCGAGACTGTTTTTTTGTCCCTGCTTTTCCGAGAGGATGGTTGTACACTTTGTTCGTTGAGGTGGCAGTCTTCAAATGAGTGGCCTGGTAAACCCATTCTGTCTTCTCGGGCTCGGACTGGAGGTGAACCCATTTGTTGAACTCTTCACGGAACCTCTCGTTCCAGAGCTCGTCAAGGGGCCGGTTCTCATTATCACATGACTGTCCCTTGTACAACAGGTAAGGGGCCGGCAGTGCGTGGTCAGGGTCCCGGGCCTCGCTCATTGCGTAGACTTGAAGATGTGTTGAGAGGGGAATGTGATGAGGATGTGAGGATAGGGGGGTGTGAGGAAATGATGAACAGAAAATCTGGTTGAATAGGTGGAGCGCCAAGGATTTGTGCTGGGTAGTGAGAGAAGGCCCGGTGTGAGTCTTGAAGAGATGAAGATATGCACAAGAGAAGAGGGTGCTCTGTCTCGTCGAATGTGACAAAGGCTCGGAGAAGGGACGACTGTTGAAGTGCTACCTTTCCATCGGTTTGTTCACAGGTCGTGTGTCTGCCCTAGTCACATTGGCGGAGTGGGTATAGAAGTGGAATGATTGTAGGTAAGATATATAAGCGGCCAGTCTTTGGTTTGGTTGGGTCTTCCATGGTGACTATTGGTCTTGTCAGTTCCACGTCACAACGCACCGCAAAAGACTCCTCAAGGAAGAAGGCCAACTTACTCGGTTCTCAATGAGCCATCATGGTACGTGTATATAGACGCTTCCGCAGAGCTGTTGCCGCCAGCATGCGTCGATGCGAGGGCACTGTGTTGACTTGTATATGATAAGAAATGAGATGGGGATGCACCGAATGAAAGCTGTGGTGGTTGGGATGAACGAGGTTTTTGTAGTTGAGAATTTCAGGCAGCAGGACGATTGTGTTCTGGGATTCCTCTCGCTTCTTTTTGTTCCTCCGTGATTGATAGGCAACAGTTGTTGTGTGTGTGATATTTGGTCGCAAAGAGCTGTGCACATAAAAACGGTAGGATTTTGTTATGCTTGTTTGCCGCCAGCCAGGCAACTTGAGACTGATGCTGCTCGCGTGAGATGAGGCTCTCCCAGGGCTCAGTTTCGGGTCACACCGGGGGGGAAGCTGACAGCGCTTCTTACAGTTCATGGTCGGCAAAACGGCCGCGATGCATAGTTGCCAAGGTGACAAGGTGACTTGCCTTGCTTGCGATCAAGATCCGGTGAGAGTTCAAATGGGAAAGCTTGTCGAAATTGATGGTTGATCAGAAGAATATGAAGTAGATGCTTGTCGGGAAAGGTAAGCGCGCCAGACTCATGAGGCTAGTATTAGGAGATTGCTTATTGCACTGAGAAATCGCCATGTGTGAGATGAGTGAGGCTGCGCTGCGGTGGGTAGGATGAGTTGGAGCTGAGGCGAAGGGGAGCAAAAGCTAAGGTGGAGAGCAGAACAGTGCGAGTGTGGGGGCAGATGATAAAGTGGGGCAGAGATATCCGCCCAGCACACCTCAGCAATCAGGGTACCTGGATTCTTGGATACAGGGGACAGCTAACGTTGAACCTTTGAAAGTTAGGTAGCCTAACACTAAGGTAGTGTATCATAAGACGCCACAGTGCTAGCATGGACTTCTCGGGCTGCAGCCTTTTTAAAATTCCTCAACTTATCTGCTGAAATTTCTGGTCGGAATGAAAACGAGCCGCGCTTATGATGCCGTCAATCGCATGACTTAGTGGAAGCCAAGTTTGACTTCTTAACGAACTGACCATAGGTAAGCAAGCACCAAGCTCAACCCATTCGTACTTCGTACGCCGTATTCCGTATGGCCCCACCATCAGCAATCATGACTCCGCGCTAAACCCATTATAGTGCCTTGGAGCGCTGCGCACCTTGGTCCGAATTGATGGTATATAATCAGAAGGGAGTCGACAACATACGACTGCGCGAGATCATGACAGCCTCAAAGCATGGATGCGGACAACAACTTTGGTCCCCAGCGAGCGGGTATTTTTGACTTCACCATTCTCTTTGAGCAAAGTATTCTATCTCTCCTCCCGACTGGTCTGTTCATCTTGCTTGTGCCGCTGAGACTCTATGTCCTTTGGAACAATGAAAGAGTCACCGAAACTGGCTTCTTGCTATGGGCAAAAATGGTAAGCAGTCACTTCTTCTTGATACTTATGCTAACAAAATAGGTTACGATTGCCAGCTACGCTTGTCTTCAAACCACCTTGCTTGTCCTCTGGTGCCGACAAAACTCGACAAAAACAGCCATCGCTGAGCCCGTCCTTGGCTTGGTCGAAGCTTTTGCACTTGCCGCTCTGTCTTTTATCGAACACCGAAACTCCAGAAAGCCATCCAAGTTGATAGGAGCATTCCTTGTCATCACCATCATCCTCGACGTTGCCCTCGTCCGCACCTTTTGGCTACGATCGATGCACAGTATTGCGGCTGTGTTCACTGGTTCGTTTGCGATCAAGACAGTTCTCTTGATTCTCGAAGAAACACCAAAGACAGTACTTGGCGAAAAGAAAAAGATACACGAGACATCGTCGGGGGTGGTCAACAGGAGTTTCTTCTGGTGGTTGAATGGACTCTTTCTGCAAGGCCATCGCACGATTCTTGAGACTGATGACCTACAGGCGATAGACTCAAAGTTTGATACAGACCATGTATCAGCGCCGTTGGAGAAACAGTGGGAACGAGGTAAGTCCTGACTGCGGCATTCCCGAACCTTGTTACTGTATGTCTAACAGTTGCAGCCCGCAACAGTGGCCAGCCCAGTCTCTTGAAGAGCACTTTCCTCGCATACAAGTGGCAATTCGCCGCCGGCATCATCCCTCGACTCCTCCACAGCGGCTTCAACTTTGCGCAACCCTTCCTCATCCAATCCGTCATCCTGCTCGTCAGCAAAAAGGAAATGTCGGTCCAAACTTCCAGCGGGCTCATCGGAGCAACAGTCCTCATCTACCTCGGCCTCGCCATTTCTGGCGCGTGGCACAAGCACATGTCTTACCAGTTGGTGACTATGTACAGAGGTGGACTGGTGTCGTTAATCTTCAAGAAGACGCTCAAACTAAAAACCTCGTCAATCAAAGACTCTGCACCTGTTACGCTCATGACGGCGGACGTGGAGACTATTGTTGCGGCTGGTGCGTCGGTCCATGACATGTGGGCAAATATGCTTGAACTGCCTGTGGGGATTTATCTGCTTTATCGTCAAGTTGGTAAGCCAAGCTTGCTTGTGCTGGTTCCAACCGTCAGTGAGTACTCTATCCCGTGTCAGACCAAGCTAACGATCAAGTCACAACAATTGTCAGCGGCATCATCTCTCCAGCCATGGAGCCAGCGACAGTGAAGTGGAACGAAGCTGTTCAGAAGCGAGTTGGCGAGACATCAAATATGCTCAATCAGATGAAGGGTATAAAAATGATGGGTTTGACGGATTTCTTTCTCAAAATGGTGCAAGGCTTCAGAGTCAGAGAGCTCAAAGTTTCTGCCAGGTTCCGATGGTTGCTCGTCTACTTCAATGCACTTGGTAAGTAGCCTCATGATTGCGCGGCATCGCTAACGGTACAGCCATGATTTCTGCCCAGTTGACTCCGGTGGTTGTCATCATGTCTGCAATCTACTGGACCAAGGCAGATGAAGGTCTGAGTGTCGCAGAAGCATTCACATCATTATCCTTGATTTCTGTTGTGACTCAACCACTTGTCATGATTCTCGTCTCTTTGATGCAGATTGCAGGTGTTCTCGGGGGCAGTGGCAGAATTCAAGCGTTCTTGCTCCTGGATGAGCAAGTTGTTGCCAAGGAGACAGTGGATGTTGATGCTATCGCCATACAAAACGCCAGCTTTCAGACGCCCGATGGAAAGTCCTTGCTCGCTGATATCAACCTCCAAATCTCGCCCGGGACACTCAGCATGCTCGTGGGTAGAGTAGGCTGCGGAAAATCGTCACTCTTGAAAGCGATCATCGGCGAGCTTATACCAGCAGAGGGGACAGTCAAGGCCGAGGATTCTCTTGCGTACTGCGACCAGATACCATGGCTCCGAAACACCACAATTCGAGAGAACATCGTTGGACAGTCGCCGATGGACGACAAGTGGCTATCGACAGTTCTTCATGCTTGCGCTTTGGACGAGGATCTCCATCAATTGCCCCAGGGTCAAGAGACAATTGTTGGCTCTGGTGGAGTGGCTTTGAGTGGAGGCCAAAAGCAGCGGGTTGCCCTTGCACGGGCTGTCTACTCGCGAAAGAAGCTCGTTATACTTGATGATGTCTTCAGCAGCCTTGACAAAACGACTGCAGATACAGTCTTCCATCGCCTCCTGGGAGCGGATGATTTGTTTCGGATGAGCACTGTTGTCTTGGTTACCAGTAACGGTATGAGCTCTCCCGATTTGAAGCTTTTCTGACTGTTTAGTTCACTACCTGCCATTCGCGGACTTTGTAACAGTGATTGAAAACGGTCGCATCACGCGCAATCAAGTTCCATACTCTCAACTCGAAGCCACCGAAACTCTAAACACTATCGCACCAATCGAAAGTCAGCAACTTGTCCAGAAGGATATAGTCAAGCTTACTCCGAAGAAGGAAATTGATTTGGCTCGGAAGACTGGGGATACAGATTGCTACAAGATATATGTCAGGTCAATGGGTTGGAAAGTGATTAGCATCATCTTTCCACTTTCTGTGATTGGTGCCGTACTTGAAGCCATGCCTCGTGAGTACTGAGCTTATCGTTCAGATGGAGCTAATGATATAGAAATTTGGTTACGAATTTGGACGGAGGAAGGTAAGGGCTCGAAGGATGCTCATTACGCGGGAGGATACATAGGGCTGGTCGTTGCTTCAATGGTCCTGGCGCTCGTAAACATTGAGTAAGTGAAATGCATAAAAGTGTGCCTCGCTGACCTTTAGTTACTTCCTCATTGTTGGCGTCGAAAAGTCATCAAACAACCTCCATGAGCAGCTTTTGAATTCTGTGTGCAGGTGCGTATGCCGTCAGGCTTTGGACCCGCCGGGTTCATCCAGGTGTTTTGAACTAATCTATGTTCGACAGAGCCCCTTTGCACTTCTTTACATCAACCGAAAGCGGCAGCATCTTGAACCGGTAGGCGACACCGTATTTCCAGGGACTTTACTGACCCTAGTAGCTTCAGCCAGGACATGACACTTATCGACATGTCTCTCCCACTAGCATTCTACCTAGCACTCGATTGTAAGCACTTCCTCACTGCCAGACTCCGCTAACCCTCCCAGTGACATTGCGATGCCTGGTTCAGGTCGGGGTAGTGGCTTCGGGAGCGAGTTACTTTGGCGCATTTCTGCCCATCTCGTTCTTGGCTCTGTACCTCATCCAAAAGTACTACCTGCGCACTTCCAGACAGATGCGACTCTTGGATCTCGAAGCCAAGACACCACTCTACACACAATTCACGGAGATTACAGCTGGACTCGCAACTATTCGCTCATTCGGATGGACAAATGAGTTTCTCGATGAAAGCTTCCGCATGCTCAATACATCTCAAAAGCCTTTTTATTTAATGTTTTGTATTCAGCGATGGTTGGAGCTGGTACTTGACCTCTTTGTTGCTGGGATGGCCATCCTACTTGTCACGATTGCCCTGCGGATTCCTGGCACCACTAGCGAGGGCGCAATCGGGCTCGCCATGGTGAACCTGCTAGGGCTGAATATGACACTAACAACGGTGATTGATCAATGGACGACCCTGGAGACTTCGCTTGGAGCTATTGCTCGGCTGAAGTCGTTCATCAGCAACACCCCAAACGAGAATAAGCAGGGTGAGACTGAAGTCCCAGATAATTGGCCTGGGGGTAAAATTGTGTTTGATGGAGTGACTGCATCATACAGGTACGTGAGAGTTTCTACGGAGAATCCGGACTAACAACCCAGCGATGAGTCGCAAGCTGTACTTCGTGATGTTTCTCTTACCATTGAAGCTGGGCAAAAGGTCTGCATATGTGGACGTACTGGAAGGTAGTAACCACTCCCAATCGATGAATGAGCTGACATCTCAGTGGCAAATCATCTTTGATCCTTTCTATCCTACGCCTACTCGAGCTACAATCAGGAAGCATTCATATCGACGGCAAAGACCTAGCATCAATACCACGCCAACACATTCGATCCCAGATAACAACAATCCCTCAAGATCCAGTGAGCCTCTCAGGCACAGTACGACACAATCTTGACCCTGAGGCACTTGTCCAAGCGGATGAAATTCTCGTTGAAGCTCTGAAAAAGACTACCCTATGGGCAACCATTGAAACACGCGGTGGACTTGATGCTGATCTGAGCGAGCTTGGCTTTTCGGTTGGACAACGCCAATTGTTTTGTCTCGCACGAGCCTTACTCTCACACTCAAAGGTCGTCCTCCTTGATGAACCAACCAGCAGTGTTGATAATGCGACCGATAAAGACGTTCGACGTATCATTCGAGAGGTTATGCAAGGCCGAACAGTGATTGAAGTCTCTCACCGTCTTGACTACGTGACAGACTTTTATCTCGCTGTTGTTATGAAGGATGGACGAGTCATCGAGACTGGCGACCCAAAGGAGTTACTCGCCCAGAACTCGGCTTTGAAGGCACTGCGGGGATAGTACCACTCTCACCATGCAGATCGATCTTCTTATATACATCTCATCTCATCTATTGTACATTAAATCTATTATACTTTTGTCTATCCGTTCCCAATCTAATCGCTCTTTGAAGGCCACTTTATCCTTCGCTCTGCCCTCACATACAGGTTATTCGGTCGAATCAATTGAAACATCGGATCATACTCAACAGGTCCGTCTTGTGCAAGACTGAACTTGTATCGATACACCAACTTGGGCAGGAAGACCTTGACTTCTTGTAGAGCAAAGTTGAAACCAACGCACATACGAGGACCAGTGGCGAAAGGAATGTATGAGGCATTGGGGCGGTTCTTGACACGGTCGGTGTCCCATCGGTCAGGATCAAACAGAGCTGGGTTATCCCAAATCTTGGTGTTGTTGTGGATGTGGTGAAGTGCGGGGATGACGATTGAGTCCTTGGGCAGCTTATAGCCACCGGGGAGGATCATGTCAACAGATGCTGTTCGTGCAGGTTGATATGAAGGGTTGTGTCGCCTTTGTGTCTCCTTGATGTACTTGTCAAGGAAGGTAAGTTTGTTGGTCAGGTCAGCTGTGATTTGGGTGTTTTCGTCAAAGCCGTTGTCGACCATCTCTTGAAGAAGTCTCTCTTGCATACCGGGGTAGGCAACGAGGCCGTACAGCAGCCACGACAGAAGAGAACTGGTTGTTGTGAAACCGGCGCCAGTGGCAACAACAAGAGGCTCCATGATGCGCTCACGAGGAAGCTTGTTGCCCTTGCTGTCGCTAGCACGAAGGACGTAGTCGACCATGTTCTCGGCCTGGACAGCAGCATCTTGTAGCTCCAAGTCGCCCTCACCCTTGGAAGCATTCTCGACAGACTCCTTCATCATCAACTCCATGTGAGCACGAGCATCACGAAGACGTTGAGGATCACCGAACGGGAGGTTCTTGTACCAGCTACCCATCGAAGTGATCTTCTTGTTGAGTTCCAGAGACTGCGCAATTCTCATCACCATGGCATGAGGTCGTGCATCAGGAGAGGTAAAGTGTTGAAAGTCCATGCCAAGCACCAACTTGCCAACAGCCTGAGAACCTAGCTTCAACATGTAGGGATACACGTTCCAAGCCTCGTCGCGCTCATCAAGCTCGTCAAAAACCTTGAACGCATCCTCAACAGTCTTTTGCATGGTAGGAGCGTAATGTCGCACAGCCTTGGGACCAAGAGCAGGAGGCAGAAACTTGTGCACCTCTTTCCACTCTTCTGTATCGGTGTCACCAAGGAAAACACCAGCCTCCTTGTTCTTGATGGGAAACAGAGGGTGACCTTCAATGATGCGCTTTGAGAAAAAGTCTGTCTCGCCGAAAACAACGTTGGCCAACTTGGGATCATTTGTGTGATAAATTGTGCTGCCCATGTTGGTGGTCTTGAAGAGAGGGCCGTACTTCTCGAATAACCGTTGGTGGTTGCCGAGATGGTCAGGGTAGACTTCAAAATAGTTGCCTACAAGAGGCAGACCTTTTGGGCCTGGGACCTCACGAACAGCTTTTCCATCGATAGTGACGGAAATGTCATCAGCAGCGAGGACGTCTGCGACGGTTGTCAAAGCATCAGACTCGGTGACAAAACCAATGCCTAAAAATTAGCGACATCACCTTAGTCGGTGAATCGACTTACCGGATGGATCAACAATCGCAAAATGCGACGCCACCAAATGCTGAAGACCCTGCTCGTCCAATGACGTAGGGATCTCAATTTCTTGGGCGGTTGAAGGGTCCTCACCCATAAGATGGAAGCGTTTAGTAGCCATGATGAATTGAATGCTGAGAATTGTCTAGCAAATGACAGGCTGCTACGGAGAGACTGTCTATATAGACCACCGACGTTAGATGAGCCGAGGCTCAGAGCCTCAACTCTGAGTGGATCTCCAAACCTTGCAATCTGTCGGTAGATATGGATCGATATGGAAAGGGGTGAAGATTTTGACGCATGGACGGGATGATTCGGTGGCGCATTAAATCTCCGCTGTGCGCCGGGTGAGTACTTAGGTTTCGGGCGTGGCGTGCACTATTGGACGGGTATCGCTGATTAGACTAAATTAGCTTATTCGTATGGAAATAACGCATTTCGAGTCATGACAGGTCTTATTGGTACAGAACATGCTGGCTTATCGTGTGAACAGCTCCGACGGCATTTACGGACCCATTGAGACCGAATTCCGTGCCTCGGTCAATTCAACCTTGTATCCATGTTGTAATCGGGTTTATATCCTTTGTTAGTTGGTGAAAAATCATGAAACGGAGCAAGCAAGGCCAAGCACGGTCTCTCGGCCGTTCCGGACCCACAGTCGGCCGAGAAAACACCTTGGAGCCTCGGTTTGACCTGATGAGGAAATTACCTGGCCAATCCTCGAGATGGTATTTGATTGTCTTCATATAACCCTCCTGCGCTCCGTAATTGTTTTTCTATACTGGCAAAGAAAATGGCTTCGTTTACTGCTAAAGAAGTAGCTGCTCACAGCACTCGTGATGATTGTTGGACAATCATCAACGGAAAAGGTACGTTTGTTTTTTGGATCTGGCGGTGAGATTTTCCTGACGATTTAGTTTATGATGTTACGAAATACATTGAGGACCATCCTGGTGGTGCGGATGTTTTGATTGAAGTTGCTGGAAAAGACTCGACGGTCGAGTTTGACAATGCAGGTCATTCTGAAGATGCCTTTGAGATTATGGAGGAGTATCTCATCGGGACGTACAGTGGTGCTCCTGTGCGAGGCGCACCCAAAGCTGTGACGCTTAAAAAGGCGGCGCCAAAGGCTGTTGTTGGGAGTAGCTTTACTTCAACGGCACTCACCGCTACAGCTGCTATTTCTGTCGGCGCTGTAGCAATCCAAGCATACAGATTGAACCCCGAGATGTTGAACTCCTTACCCAAGCTCAAGACCAGCAGCTCAGGACCTGGATTTCTAGAAGGATTCCTGATCGCCTCAGCGCTCTTCACCGTCGCTGGTACAATCACCGCCAAGAAACTCTCCAAACATCTTCACTTTGAAGAAGGCGGCTTCATGAGTTACGCTCCTCACAAGAAGATGCCAAAAGTCACAAAAGTCAACCCCCTCATACAACGAGGCTGGCTCGACCCAACAACATATCACGCCCTCCCCCTAACAGAGAAGGAATTAATCGCCCCCAACGTCTACCGCCTCGTCTTCAGCCTGCCAACACCCACTACAGTCCTCGGTCTCCCGACAGGCCAACATCTCGCTATCAAAGCTGAGATCGACGGACAGGTCGTCAACCGCTCTTATACACCCATCTCCAACAACAACGACCTCGGAAAACTGGAGCTCGTTATCAAATGCTACCCCGGCGGTCTCTTAACAGGAAAATACCTCGCCAATCTTTCTCTCGGCGATGAAGTTTCCTTCCGCGGTCCAAAGGGCGCAATGCGCTATAAGAACGGTCTATGTAAACGAATAGGCATGCTCGCAGGCGGAACAGGTATAACGCCAATGTTTCAGATCATCCGCGCCATTTGTGAAGATGATCGCGATCTGACGCAGGTGAGCCTCATTTACGCGAACCGCTCAGAGCAAGATATTCTTCTGCGCGATGAACTCGAAACTTTCGCGCGTCGATACCCCCAGAATTTCAGACTATACTACGTTGTGGAAAAGGCACCGAAGAATTGGGCTTTTGGCACAGGTTTCGCTACACAGGAACTCATGGAGGAAAAGTTCCCCGCGCCAAGTGTTGACGCGAAGATCATGCTGTGCGGACCACCGGGGATGGTAAAGGCGGCTAAGACGTCGCTTGGCAACCTTGGGTTCAAGCAGCCTGGAGCTTCTGCCAAGATGAGCGATCACATCTTTTGCTTCTAGACTTGTGTACCTAATAATATTACCTGTGCCCCCC